GCCCCTGTGGGCAGCCAGGCTCCTGGGGGGGGGGGGGAGCTTTGCCCCCTTAACCTGCCCAGGGTGTGCGGGAACTCCCCTGCACACTAGCAGCCCCCATGCAGGCAGCCCTTGCCATGCTGGCCCGGCCCCAGGACAGGGCACGTGGGCAGCCATCCCCTCCGGCAGCGCCCTTCCCCATGAGTGCCGGCCTGGGGCAGAGACGCCGCTCGGACAGGAGGCTCACTGCCTGCATCCTAATTTGGCAGCATCTGCCATCTGACCGGCAGAGGAGGGGAAAAAACCTGACAGAGCCCAGACAGCCGCTGGCGCAAGAGCCACGTAAACCTCACAGAGAGAGCAGGGAGGGGAAATAATAAAATCGCTGAGCAACTTAGCTAAAGGAAACGGGGCGAGTGCGGAGGGCAGCAGGGGTTTCCTGCAGCTGCGGGAGCGAGCGGGGCCAGGTGGGGTCAGCGGAGCTCCTCAGCCCCTTGCAGCCCACCACCCGTGAAGGTCACGGGCAGATGGCCCCGCAGGCTGCTGTGCTGCGTGGTCCCGGGGCCAGCGACAGCATGCTGAGCCGAGCCGGCCACAGCCGAGCTGCAGAAACTAATCCTTGCCCTTAAAGCTGCCGCAGAGATCTTGCGGCAGCCTGGCACCGAACCTGTGTCCTTTCTCCAGCAAACACCAGGGCACACCAAGTGCTGGCCCCCCATGAAAGGGACATGCGCTACCATCCAGGGCTGGGGAGATGGGCAAGCACTGGATTTCAGTGGTTCGGGAGTAGCCAGCTGCTCTCTCCGTCTGGCACGTGGTGCCAGAGGTGGGCTCAGAGGCAGCACCGGCAGTTTCCCGGCTCAGCACCTGCAAACCTGAACTTCGGAGGGACGTGAACAGCGTCAGGGCTGGCCGAGCAGTGAGTCAAAGCCACCTCAATCCCGCGCGCCACAGTGAGAGCCTGGTCCCATTAGTCAATGGGAAATTGACTCCCAATTTCACCAGCTTGGGGAAGTCACCCTAAGGCTTACTTTATCACTGTCTGCAGCGCTGGAGAGTTGTCCTCTCCTTACCTTCAGCCGGGCAAAGGCAAGGGATGCTGCAGGAGCCTCACTACGCTCCAGCAAGTGCAGCAGGCCATGGTCAACCCCACATAAAAGCAGGATTTCCATGGCAGAGTGGAATCGAGGGGAAGGGGATTAATGCAGGAACTGAAACAGTCAATAGAGACTGAAAAACTGCTGAGGGAGCAAGCATCTAGGTTAAACTTTCCCTTGCATTACTTACACATATATGTACATAATGTGCACTGTTGCTACAGCAAGTTTTTTGTTTTTGTTTTTGTTTTTTTAATTTTATGAATAATCTAAAGCATATATTTATGAAGATATATTATTTTTTTCCCTGAGCTCTGCTGAGTAGGAGGCAGTGCTCTGCAGCTACTCCCCAAGCAACCAGGAGAGTGGTAAGGATTATTGGATATACCCAAGGAATTTGGGAAATGCCATGCATCTAGGACCTCACTAAGGGTCTGGGGAAACGTGCTTGCATTCCAGTTCTGATAGCAAAATTATGTAGCCTCCTTCTATGCATCAGTCTCTCCCAGGGCTGTGCCCAGAACTCAAATCATAATCATACAACTAAAGAAAGAAAATCTTATTCTCCAGGGAAAATCTGTCGTCTCCACCAACCGGCTCCAATTTGAAAGCTCTCGCCTTTGAACACGGGGACTGCCGGCTTTTATCAGGATGTGCTGGCAAGGTAGGACGCCAGCTCCTTGCCCCGACGAGGAGAATGCAACTCGCGCAAGCCCAGAGCACCCTGAAAGAAAGCAAGGGAGGAAAGTTAGTAAAGACGCCCACGCAGCCTCGCCGCAAACAGAGGAACCTGTTCTGCAACGTGCCCATGCTTTCCGGGAGCTATGCACACCATGGCACCATGTCTGCAGGAGCTCAGCCGGGCTCCTGTAGGCAGCATTGATGGCTGGGCCATTTGCCCCAGGACATAGCTTGGCTTCCACCGTGGTGGCTGCTCACAGTGGTGCTGGATGCCTCTCCCCCTTGCCGCCGTGCTGTGCTCCTCTGGAAGGAAAGGCAGCTTGTTTAGGGATGCACTTTCAGTCTTGGTGACTGCCTGCTAGTCAAAAAGCCACCAAAAGGGGCATCTCCCCGCAGATTTTTAATTTCCTCCTCAGTTTTGGAGATAATTATGGCAGGAGCAAGCGGCCTTGCACACTCCCCATTCAAGCACCTATCAGTACAATTAATCCCGGCACCGTTCTGAGCAGTGGCACAAAGGGCCTTTGGTGTAAGGTCCTTTATCTGGGAACAAAGAGCTGCCTGTGGGAGAGAACCTGAGGTTGCACTTTTCCCGCTGATGA